GATTTTATCAAGATTTATCTTATCCACGTTTTCATATATATACATACATACATACATACATACATACATACATACATACATACATACATACATACATACATACATACATACATACATATATATATATATATATATATATATATATATATATATATATATATATATATATTATATATATATATATATATATATATATATATATATATATATATATATATATATATATATATATATATATATATATATATATATATATATACGTTAACGATGGCAGAGGGACGAAAACAAAAAATGGCAACAATTGCCCTTATATGTGATTAATGGCAGCAGTGGGAAAACAAAAATGGCAACAGTGCCTTATATGTGATTACAGCAGAGGCAAAAACAAAAAATGGCAACAATTGCCTTATATGCGATTAATGGCAGCAGAGGGACGAAAACAAAAATGGCAACAATTGCCTTAAATGTGATTAATGGCAGCAGTGGGGCGAAAACAAAAACGGCAACAATTGCCTTATATGTGATTAATGGCAGCAGAGGGCGAAAACAAAAAATGGCAACAATTGCCTTATATGTGATTAATGGCAGCAGTGGGGCGAAAACAAAAAATGGCAACAATTGCCTTATATGTGATTAATGGCAGCAGTGGGGCGAAAACAAAAAATGGCAACAATTGCCTTATATGTGATTAATGGCAGCAGAGGGCGAAAACAAAAAATGGCAACAATTGCCTTATATGTGATTAATGGCAGGAGAGGGGCGACAATAAAAAATGGCAACAATTGCCTTATATGTGATTAATGGCAGCAGTGGAGGCGAAAACAAAAAATGGCAACAATTGCCTTATATGTGATTAATGGCAGAAGAGGGACGAAAACAAAAAATGGCAATGGCGATTAATGGCAGCAGTGGGCGAAAACAAAAAATGGCAACAATTGCCTTATATGTGATTAATGGCAGCAGTGGGGCGAAAACAAAAAATGGCAACAATTGCCTTATATGTGATTAATGGCAGGATAGGGGCGACCGTAGAAAATGGCAACAATTGCCTTATATGTCATTAATGGCAGCAGTGAGGCGAAAACAAAAAATGGCAATTATTGCCATATATGTGATTAATGGCAGAAGAGGGACGAAAACAAAAAATGGCAACAATTGCCTTATATGTGATTAATGGCAGCAGTGGGGCGAAAACAAAAAATGGCAACAATTGCCTTATATGCGATTAACGGCAGCAGAGGGACGAAAACAAAAAATGGCAACAATTGCCTTATATGTGATTAATGGCAGCAGAGGGGCGAAAACAAAAAATGGCAACAATTGCCTAATCTATGGGAATGTGAATAATGGCAGCAGAGGGGCGAAACAAAAAATGGCAACAATTGCCTTATATGTGATTAATGGCAGCAGTGGGGCGAAAACAAAAAATGGCAACAATTGCCTTATATGTGATTAATGGCAGAGGGTCGAAAAAAAAATGCAACAATTGCTTATATGATTATGGCAGCATGGGGCGAAGAAATTAAAAAAATAACAATTGCCTTATATGTGATTAATGGCAGCAGTGGGGCAAAAAAAAATGGCAACAATTGCCTAATATGTGATTAATGGCAGCAGAGGGACGACAATAAAAAATGACAGCAATTGCCTTATATGTGATTAATGGCAGCAGAGGGGCAAAAACAAAAAATGGCAACAATTGCCTTATATGTGATTAACAACACAACATACATATATTGTTTCTCACTTTTGATATATTTTTTTTTCATTTTTGTATATCTTTATGGTTCTTTATTATTATTATTGTTGTTACAGTGTTATTATTATTATTTTTTTTTTTACTTTATTTTTAGTTTTGTATTTGTTTATAAATTTTATTTACTAGGAATTATTTTTATTATTTATTATTATTATTATTATTATTATTACTATTATTATTACAATTTCTCTCCCCCCCACCCTCCCCCCCGATGTGGGTGTGTGACCTGTGCCCGGGTGGGCTAATTCCCGTAAAAAAAATAATAATAAAAAATAATAACAAAAAATAATAATGAAACAAAATTATCCAGTCAACTAGTGAATAATTTTACCTCTCCATTATTATCAAGAATATAGAGAATAAACAGCTTTGGAACATAAGTAAAATATTAAAGAAAAACGAAAAAAGAACATCCATAATGCATAGCTTTTTTACAAAAACATAGAAGTAAAAAGTAGTTACAGTATTGTACTACTGATCAATTTTTACTTGATTAAAGGTCAAAGGTAGTCGTCCAGAAAAGTAATTAGTTACAAGTACATTACTATATACTGTACTGTATATGTTAAATCGGATCATATGAAGATCTTCCCCCCCAAAGTATCCAACTGAATCCTCCCCAGTCGCGCTCATATGAAGATCCCCCCCAACATATAATATAAATAAACAACATAAGGATTAAATAATAAAACATTATTCAGATTACTTTCTTGTTACACTAAATATTGGTGTAGGTTAGGTTAGGTTAGGTTAGGTTAGGTGGTCATAGTGACGTCAGGTCAGGTAAGGTCAGGTTTGGTCATTGGTCAGGTCAGATCCTCCCATCCAGGCTTGATCATATGAAGATCCTCCCCCCCCCCCAAGTAGGTTTGGGGGGGAGGATCTTCATATGATCCGTTAAATCTTACAGTTTCCTCCAGTAAACCTCTTACCTAACTGTACGACCCATCCTCACTTTTGTATTATTTAATGAAGTTTTAACCTAACTAATCCTTACATAACCCAACCTAGTTTATTTAGAAAGGTATAATCTCCTGTAATTATTCAACTAACTCTTTTTACCTTACATCATCCCTCACAAAAGCCCATACAGCAGTAGTCAGGAGTAAATGTTAATGAGATATTAACATACAAACCTTACACAACTAAATTTCTGTCAGGATATGGATTTCAAGTTCTGTAATAAACTCTACCTTACTACTAAATTATTTTTTTATACTGTATACATATATTGATTTTAAGTAATAAATTTCAGCTAATTCTTGATTTATTTATTATGCGTAGATTCTAATTCCTAAATCCTATCAAATTGTTGAATAAATATTTATACAGTGTAGTATAAATTCTAAATAATAAATACTACAGTACCTAACTATTGATTTAGTTGGGAATTTTTTTTTATTCTAGCTGGTAAATCCTACCTAAAGTATTAATTAATCTTAATAAAGTTATTCTAACTAATAAATCCTACTTAATTCTTGATTTAGCCATTGTACATAGCTTTAACTAATATAGCCTACCTGTCTCTAGAATTAATTGTATACTGTATGTATTTTTGCTAAATGAAAAATACTCCTGATATGACTTTTAATTTTGGAAATCCTTTCTTAATATGGATTTTAACTCCTATTTAACAGTTATATATAAATCATAATGTATGGATTGTGAGTAATAAAACTTTACCTAACACCTGTCTTAAGTCATGACCAGTACTGTAGCAGGCAAGCAATGAAGTAGTACAGTATTTGTAATTGATTACAATAACTAAGAACAGGGGTAGTTTTTCCAGTGCGTACATTTATTATTTAACAAGCCTCCTTTTAATAAGAGAATTAACTTTTAATGAATATCAAATGGGAAAAAAATATATATACAGTACAGTACGTACCTGTATCATACTCAAGAAGTCAAGCACTTTTCTAGCATAGCCCCATACAGTGATGTCTGATATTATTGACATCTTTTATACCCCCAATCTAAAAAATAGTAATCACAAGGGTTGCACTCACTCTTTCAAAATTTGAATAACAAATACAAATGAAATAGAAAATTTCAAAAATTTTGTCTTTTCTATTTCATTTGTATTTGTAATGAATAGAACAGTTCCAATTAATTCATGCGATAGGGAGATCATAGATCAGAGAATGCCTGTAACTGACTGACAAAACTGGGATTTCAGATTTGGAAGAGGCAAAGATGTTCAAGTCACATGCAGTGGAATTGACTCTGGAGGATTAGGGAGAGCTGACACAGCTAGAGGAGGAAGAGACGGCAGAGCAGCAAGAAGTTACAGTACAGTAGAACCAGTTGATGATGAGAGGCCGACTCATTAACCATCCAATCAAAGAGGAGTTTAAAACAAATTCCAATCTGGAGTGAAACTGACATGCTTGGTTCATCAAGCAACAGCCGTGGTAATTTTTTTGATTACCTTATGGAGCAGCAACTCTGCCTTGTCAGCCAAGAGGGTGCTTGGATGTTCTACACATAATGCCCAGTTCCCACTCTGTGAAAGTGGGTTGGCAATAGGAAAGGCATCCAGTCATAAAACTTGCTTCAATTTAACCAGGACACCCTGCCACCAAGCAGTCACAGATGACCCACACACACACACACACACAAAGAATATGGCCATGAACGATGGTGAAGAGCAAATAACACCATGCACAATAAAGTGAGTTTTGCCACAATAAAATCACCAGCTGATGTTTTACACAGTTAAGTTCAATATCCTTCACACATTTTAGTGACTACGTTTATCATTATTTCTTAAAGGCATTTTAGTTATTCACTAAACAAACAGTAGAGCCTACTGTGGTGAGCGGAAGACTGTGTGTACGGAATTTCCATTACCTACATTACTGTACTTACAAGATGTGTTTAACACACTACCATGTTAACGCACATTAACGTGTATTAATGGATGTAATTCAGGTTGAGTAATTAATTATTAGAACCTCATTAATGTGAAACTCCATTTGTCATTTAGTCCAGTCTCGGCCATAAAATAGGATTCCAGGGTTTTGTCCTAATGACTAACATACTCCCGTATGTTATTCTACATGCTCAATCTTTACCACGTAAAAGTGGGTTGAGTACAGACAGGTGAGAACTTAATTACTAACCATCTTTAATTGTGGTGTTTTCTTCTCACATCAAACTTCTTTATAACATAACCATATGATGTTTAAGAAATACATGCAACTGCTGTATTCCATGAAACTGTATAATAAAAGAACAATGCTAATAATTTTTTTAATTAAATCTGATCATTTTATAATACTGATGATAAAGGCTTTATACAACCATTATAATTTGAACCTAAAGCTGAAACAATCAGGTACCCTAATCATAGCCCAAGGGTAAACTATAGCAGGTGTCACAAGATTCTGAATTTGACAGCTTAAAACATCCTTGTCTATGCCACGAAACACACCACTTACATCTATGTTTTCATGCATAGTTATAGTAGTATCTCTCCCAATTAGGGATGATACTGCCCACAAGAACCTTTCACGCAGGTCAGCTCTACAGTCTTGAGGGTTACTTCCTCCTTTGGAGGCCCCTTCTGTGGTTGTCTCGTCCATCTGGGGAAAAGTGGAGCATAATTAGCTGAAATAAATAGACTGGTAACATTAGCAAAAAACCTCTTGTTTGTTTTAGAAAAAAGCAATACAGTACTGTACATGTAATAAAGAATTAACTTAGCTTGTGAAGTTCATATTTAAGACTAAGAAGACTTAAACCATGACTTGTGAGACTGTCATTGCTCACAAGGGCAACTGTATAGCCATAAAACGTATTGTACAAGATACATTACTGTGCAGATTATCAAATTGTATCAATTTTTCTTTAAGAAAAATTACATCTTTTACCTATTTTTCATCACTTGCCTAGAAGGTTGAACATGAAATGTATCAGGTGATGTAAATGGGAACAGAAAACCATGTTTATACTGCTCATGAAATGAATACTGTACAGTAATTGTGAAAGGTTTGGATGCCACGCGCTCCTTTTGCAGAGGTGTAGCATTCCACTAGGAGGAGGAAAGGGCCTCCTTCTCCTCTGTGAATTTGCTGCATTTAAGGCCAAGATAGCTGTGGAGACTGTATTTAGCTATGGATGCTAAAATGAATCTTGAGACTTTGATGGAGCAAACAAATGGACCTGACTAGAAAAACATAAACAAATACAGCACATTATTCTATGTTCCATCCCAAGGGCCTGTAGTTGAACTCTAGCAATTAGAACACTACCGGTGGAAAGACTTAAAAATAGGGGCTTTGTCCTACACTCGGCCATGATGAAAGGGTCATAACTCAATATCTATTCATACCTCCAAACTTTCAATATCATCCTGTATTCAGTCTAACTTGTCAGCCGGTGTCTGGTGGGTAATTACTCCAAAAC